ATGATTAAAGGCTCTAATGGCCCCAGCAAAAGTGCAGCTGATGGTTTTCTTAAAAGGGGAGCTGATACTGAATCTTCAATGGGCATCAGAATCGAGAGGAGCTGAAGAAGAAAAATGTGTAACTGGGTCAGGTGAAGAGTGACTAAGACCTAAAAAGAACATCTGCATGACTGAGATGTGATGGCAATTTTAAGTGACATTTCATGGGTTTAGGATCATACTTTTCTATATTTTTTTTTTGCTGAAGATAGCTTAGCATACTAATAGCTCGATTATAGTGGCACATGGTTGTGGCAGATGGGTGGGTGGAGAACTGCATGTCATCCCAGTATGAGTCTTTGCCTTTTTGAGTGCCGGAAAATCATAAGGGAGGAGCCCTTTTCTACCACTGTAGAAGATTCCTAAGCACCTCTTTTGGTACAGCTATGCATGGCCATCAGAACTACGGCTCTTTCAGGCAGATTTTTATATGAAGCAAGATTTATATTAAATTTTTATTTCCATTGGTTCAGGTATGCAAGATTTCCTTCATTCTTCCCCACTCTTTCTGCTGTTTGAAAATCCAAATCCAGACTGGGAACTGAATATTGTAAAATTCATATATTCTGAACCATATAAAATTACAGCATGGAGGGGACCTTTGGAAGTTATTTGGTCCAACCCCTTGTTCAAACTCTATTAACTTAAATGTTACAAGTTTGTCTTTTCAATTCAAGTTTGAATATATCCAAGGACGGACATAGCACAGATTTAGTGTGTAATCTTTCCCAGTGCTTAACTGAGTGGGAAAATTTTTCATTTATGTCCAGTAGGAAACTCCTGTCTTGCAGTGGGGGGTTTTTGCCTCTCATCCTTTGCTGTGTGACACTAGAAAGAATCTGTCTCTGTCTTCTCCACCTCATTTTAGGTAGCCTCAAGCCTTCAATTTACCCTCCTTTTAGTTGCTTGTTTTTGCACATAATATTTGCATTCTATTGATACAGGCACTGAAAAAATTGCTGGTAAGCAAAAAATACCTCTAAATCACAAGGGGACAATAGAATAAGTGACCAATATTAATTTGATGAAAATTGCCCATGTGGGAAGTTCTGACATTTCTAAGTTACTTCCCTGTGGGAAAATCATGAATATCTTCCCTTCCTGTGTTGCACAGGCTGGACATTTCAGGAGTCTGTCCCTTTAAGCTGAGTATATTCAAAGCTAAATGGGGCTTCCATCTGAAATAAACCACAAGAAATGTTTCTGTGTATGCAAGAGAATGTGTGTGAATGTATGGGGGTTTCTAGTGTGGGACAGAAAAATAGACTTATGATCCTCTCCTCCCAGAAGAGGCCATGTCTCGTGACAGGAGAAATGTCATTTGATTTGGAGAGTTGCTTTGACCTTCAGGGTCAGCCCTACCCTGGGCCAGGGTTCAGACAGACCCATAGCTCCTGCTCTATGGCTGTCCCAAATTCTCTGTGCATTTGTTGTTCTTTGCTTAGTGCTTGTCATCAAGTTGTTCTGAGGAGATTTTACCAAATGCTGTAGAGCAAATGACACAGACTGGTCAGCTGTTTGATCATGTAAATTCACAATGTTTGCAATAAAGTAATAGCCACCATCATCTCCCTTCTCTAGATGCTTCACTGAAAACTGGAGAGATCTTTTTAAAAAATTATCTCTGTTGCCTTCATGATTTCTTGTCATCCAAGCATTTCAGTTGACTTAACTTGAACTGAGCAGCTTTGCTAAGAGGCTTAGCAGTGTTTTTACTGTGGACAGCATGCTACTAAGAAGCAGCAGATATCATAATTATAAGCTGCAATATTTAACAACACCCCAGGAAACTTTCTGTCTGGCAGTACTGCTAAATAACATTTATCCCATAATCTCTCATTAAAGGATTGTATAAATCAAGGTTATGTGATTTTTAAAATGATTTAGGGTTTTTTACTCCTATAAGTTTCTATGGACTAAATTTTGATCAACAACCCCAAGGATAATTTATTTCCTGTCTACTCAAACTCCCAAGCAAGCATGGTCCAGCACCATATTGGGCAGGAGTATTGTAACTTTCTGTAGCTTCTAGTTTTGAGATAGAAGAGAAGAGCCACACTCATTAGGAGGTGGATGTTTTTGAGGTGTTTATGATACCTCTGGATTGAGTACACATGCAGCTTGATGGCCTCAGTCAGGAGAAAGAATCACCGTTTCAGCTTTAGTTATGTGCAGTTTTTTGGGACATGTAGCAGCTTCACCTCCAAAAAATGCATAGTAGATATAGGAAATTAGGGCAGATACAAGATTTTAGCCATGATGATAAAAATAGAACAAAGTTAATACTAACCTGTGTCATCGTTGTCGTCATCATTCTCCCTCCCGCCCACACAGTGTAGAGCCCACACATGCAGTGTCTGCCATAATCTCCTTTTCTAATTGTGGTTGTATTCCAATAATCCCTTTTCCTACTTATAGCTGCTTGCATTCTAATACCCAGCCTTTTTTCCCCTCTTCCTCCTATGCTGATGGTCTCAGAAAAATATTTATTGTCTGATGTAAGTGAAAGTACAGCTCTATAACATCCTCAGCTGAACTCTGTCTAAGCAGCCACCCTGCCTTGGGAGTTGGTGGAGCGTTTCCATGGTGGTAGGGCTGACTTCTGAGTTCTTTATTTCAAGACCAGTTTAGCTGACCTTTTTTATACCCAGGCTCAGTTTTTGTTTTGTCTAAAATAATCACAGTTTTAATATCTTACCTTACCTGATATTTTAAGTAAGTTTTATCTTACAATGCAGATATTTATCTCATAAAGAGGATTTATATCTTATGAGAGTAGTAAAAAAATTAGAGCATCATGTTAAAGAAAGGGAAAATTAATATTGCTGACCCAGGCAAATAAATTCAGTATTGGCTTTACTGCCTAAGCTTTAAAGAGGCTGATTTCTGAGGTGTAGTTTCTCCCTTCTTCTGCCTAAAAAAAGAATATATTCATTTCTGCATTGGTTTGATTTACACTGAATAGGTATACAGCTCTGTAAAGAAAAAAGATCCATCTGTTAGAGGCAAAATATAATATGAGATAATGAAGAAAAATAATTTGAAGACTATCATATATGTAATGTATTTCACAATTGGTTTGTTATTTGTCAGATAGTTTCAGTGCTCTGCAAGAGCTTTAAATTAACCAGAATTAATAATCCATTGATTTGATTAAATATGTTGGTGATGTGCCAAAGTTAAAATGATAGAAACCCTGAAAAAAAAGTCATTGTGAAAAAATAACTAACTTGAAAAAGTCAGTGTAGAAGGCAGACCAGCATGGCTAATGACAATAAATGAAATCCTGCTTGGGAATCTGATCCTTATCCAGCAAAGCATTTAATCCCATCATTTAAGCATATGAGTTCTTCCCTCTCTAAGCATGCATATTGTCCCACTTAGGTAAGGGTGAGGTTAAGTGAGTTCCAGGACTGTTGCCATAGAGCTCAGCCCCTGTCAGACCAGAGCCTTTGCTGCCCTGATGGGGGACACATCTTGCAACAAGAGTTATGTATTGAATGGCATTTCTGTAGGCATTCCTGTGGTGCAAGTTCAGAGCAGCCTAGGGGTTTCAAAGATAGTCAGAGAGATATTGTTATGTTTGGGTACAAAGGGATAAAAAATGCTTCTTACTGTAAGGTACAAGTCTTTTTTTAATTGCAGCACAGAAAAAATGTAGGGGGTAAAGAAGAAAGATGAAAAATACACACATACAAAAGAATCTGATGTCTAGAATTCTGCAGTTGAAAGGTTTTACTGTAAATTATGCTTTTGATTTGGATATACTTCAAATGTAGTGCAAAGGAATTACTGGTTTGTGCTGCATTGTTAAAACAGCTTACATGGAAATTTAGTTTCATGTGAAAAGCTACTAAATGATAATACTGTGTAAGAATAAAAGTTTATTTTATTGTTTTATTGGAAGCAGCTACTCTTTTACAGAGGCAAATGGCTCTTCAATCAATGAGTATTGTCAGGTGCATTATGGATAGTTTAAGGGCTTAAGTGCCTATTTCATCTTTGCAGACGTGTAACTCCTACAGTAGTAGGTACCCACTAAAGTTACATTGTTGCTTATTCCAGCAGACAAATTGTAAATTATAAAAGTGAACATAAGAAGTACTGCAGTCCAAACTAATCTGCTGGTAATGTGTGCTCACTGTCATTTCTAGAGAGCAAGGCCAGGTCTCTTTTCCCCACATAAATGGGACAGGACAGGGGTTTGCAGGAGTCTGGCTGGGCGCTCTCCTCTGGAGAGTGGGAGAGGATTGTCCAGAGCAGACTGTGGCTCTACATCTGGAACAAGGAGCTAGCAGGGCTGATGCAACAAGGGCTATAATTAATCCTACACCCACAGCCCACCTTGTTTCAGTGGGAGACCTTTCTTTCCACAGTGCTTTCATCATATTCCACAATGCCCATGCCTTGTGTATCACATCTCCCTGTGCTAGGAATTAAGTGCTGCTAGGCATAAAAGGCAGCTTTACCCTTGGTAGGTTTCATGCTGGGGAAATTTTTCTGCTGCCTGTCTGCTGATGACTTAAATCCATTTTTTCTTTACATAGCTTTTGTACCTGAGAATTGATGTTGCAATAATCTGCATTGGTAGCGAGTTCCACATGATGAATATAAGAAGCAATTAGTATGCCCCACAAAACATGCCTTCACAGCTAATTTATTGCATTGTAATCTACTTCTGTTTCAGTGAAAAGCAATCATGGATATAGGAAAACAAAGAGATACACTACTATACTTGTGTTTGGACAAGAAGAATTAAATGCAGAAAGTAGTGAAAAATAATTTGCAAAAATTTCCGTGTATGTTATTTGTATAAATAGTAGACTTAAGGAAAAATTTGTGGTTTGTCAGTTTAGTAGAATCTCATTTGGCTACAGATACAAAAAAATACTGAAAATGAAAACCAGGTGGCTACCCCAACACTCCTTAATTCCTTTTTATATTCCCCTTATGTTTTGTAGCTGTGCAATGGTGGATCTGTGACTGATCTTGTGAAGGGATTTCTGAAGAGAGGCGAAAGGATGAATGAACTTATAATTGCTTACATTTTACGTGAAGCTCTGATGGTAAGATAGGCTTTCAATGAAAGGACAGTCAATAATCAGCTCATAGTTTTTTCTTTAAATGAATGAAGATCATGTCCCCACTAACACAGCTCACTATCTTGTATTATAGCAGTGTTTAATGAAATCAAGGCAATGTGTAATTAGGATGGTTCTTTTTAAGCAGGCAAGGTAAAGAGCAGTCAATCTATTCATTTCACTATTGATAGAATGAAAATTGATTTCTGACCATTGATCAATTTTCTTGGCAAATACAGTTCAACATCAAAATTGCTTTTCTTTTAAGAAATAGCAGAAATACCATCAAAATACTGTTCAGCCTCTTGTGTTTGGATCAAAACTGTTTTTGAAGTAAAATAATCCACAAATAATCTAACAAATTCAAATCCTGCTACAAGAATTTGGTTCTGCTCATTAGGATCAACTGTATTTATTTATCATTTTCTTATAAGTAAAATTTTTCTTTCTCTGGCAGAATTTAGGATTCAGTAGTTTTCTTTGAGTTTATGGTTTAAAGTTATTATATGTAGGTTTATAGTGATATTTTTATGCTTTCATCTTAAAATTTCTATTTGTCATTAAGTAGAGCAATGAAATAATAGTTTTTCTTTGTCATGTGGCAAATGGTTTTGCAGTAAGAATGACATCCCTATGGTTTTGGATTAAAAAAAATAAGTTTCAAGTATTTTTCATGCTTTTCCACTACCTTGTTGTTTCTGCAAATGTAATATGGAGGATAGAGCTGTTGTTAACAGTTCATGTTTACTTCTCACCTTCCAGGGACTTCAGCACTTGCATGAAAACAAAACTATCCACCGTGATATTAAGGGAAATAATATTCTTTTGACCACTGAAGGAGGAGTCAAGCTTGTGGATTTTGGTATGTGATGTTTACTTATATATACAATTTTTTACACCTGAAGCATGGAAAATAGAGTAAATAAACCAGAAAATATTAACTGTGTTAATTTTTTGTTAAAAACCACTTGAATAACCAATGTTACTTTTTAAAACTTGATAGATATTTTAGTAATTTTGATAATGCTGTTTCAATAGCATGGCTAAAAAGCAGGAATTATAATACGGTGGTGGTAAGTGCCAAATGCCTCGAGGCACAGAGTAAGTGAAATGGCAAAGCAAGAATATAGGATTCAAAATAAGGTTTATGTTCAGTTTCTCCAGGAACCACACACTGGTTCACTGGAATTAGGAGCTGATAGTAAAAAGCTTCATGTTTTATAGGAGAGCATTTAAAACTTAATAGGTGTTGTGAAGAATGGGAGAGCTCCATCTCAGACACATATACTTCCTTTATTTGATTTAAAACAAAACAAGAGATATTTGAAGGCAGTAGAGGGAGAAATATTATATAGGTAATCCCAACTTTATAAAGTCTGGGAAGACAGATTTTGGCAAATCTAAATCTGAGATTTGGCATTAAAAGAGTCAGTTGAAGCCTGTTAGGACTAAAAGGATTCCCGAATGCTCCCATCTTTGGTGTCACCACCAAAAAGGAAGAGCAGAGTAATGGATAAGTGGATGCAACCTGTTATTTATCAGCAATACCACAGACATTTACCTAAAAGGTTAGGTTCGACTTTTGTTTCATATGAGGGGTATAAAAATTTGCAGTGCTTGTTGTTATGAGCTATTATGTTCATAACTTCATAACACTGCCTTTTTATGTTAAAAGTAAATTTATTGGTCGCTATTTCACAGCACAACAGACAACTGTAAATATGTTTAATTCAGCAGATGGAAAGGAAAGTGTTTGTTTTTCCTTTGTCCTCCTATTTTGTTCATGATTCTGATTTAATTGATGTATAACAATTGTTTAAACTAATCATGGGATTTTAACTCTCTTTAGTATAGTATCTTCCAGCCAGTAGGTTGTATTTATGAAACTCTCATGACTTCACACACAAATTCCCAAAACTGTTAGGTTTAATAATTACTTTGAAATGTCATGTATTTATTTTATATTCCTCAGATAAAATCTTCCATTGAAAAATCTTCGTATTTCCTAAATCATCTGCAGTATACTTACTAGTATTTTCTGGTAGTCTGGAAGTTTATTGTGAGGCAAAAATCAGTATTTTTGCACACAGGCTTTTAATTTGTTGTGGAAAAAAAATTTAAGGTGCTGGAGGCAATTAGAGGATCAATGCTTCTGAAAATGAAATCACTTATCAAAACTTACAAGCTGTAGGGATGAGGACCTGAATTTTTTATTCCCCAGGTACTGCAATCTCCTGATAAGGCTGTAATTGAAAAATAATCTTCAGTTCTTGTGGGAAAATTGTGATGCCAAAATACAGATTAGAACATGCACAAGAAACAAATATACCTACACACACATTTATGTGGGCTCAAAAGGAGCCTGCAATAGCTGCAGTCCGTCCTCTCAAAGGAATATACAAATGGAGTAAATTGATATTTTAGCTTTGGAGTAGATTGATATTTTTCCTGGCTTTCCCCCACCTCCCCAGGAAGAAAAACAATCTGAAGCCAATAATGAGTAGTTTCAGATGGAATAAACTTATAGTCTTCATAAAATCATCATGGAAGATGTACCATTCACCATTCAAGCTGCTGCTTAAGGTATTCAGCTGGGATTTGTGGGATTTGTGTCTTCTACTTAAGGGGATTTAATCCCACATTAATCAGATTTCAAGATCATTTTTTAGCCAGGAATGTGAGTTGATAAAAATCTCTCATGTTGGCATTGCTACAGACTGTTGTACATAAACATTTATTGGATCTGGGACTTAAACTCAGCAACCTTTTATTATACAAGCCTATAAAATTGACAGGCTACAGAGTAAGATAGACATGGAGGCATAGTGTCTTTTTCACCCAGTAAATACTCAGAGGAAGCAAAATTTTTGATTTAGGCTGAACCAATTATTACATGGGGCAAACAAACACAAAAAAATCCCAACCAAATAATCACATCACCCTTTCTAGCATGCGCACAGCTTTTCTGTGTGGAGAGGGGAACAGAGGCAGGGAACCAAGGACTCCTTCAACCACCAAACACACATGACCAAGGCAGTGAGCCTTTCCCAAGATAACTTTATCTGCACCATCCTCTTGCATGCATGGGATGTTCCTGAAGAAGCCTTTGCTGTCCTCCCCTGATACTATTTATGGTGGTTTTCTTTCTTCTAAACATAAGCCCTGTGTCTGAAACATGGGCTTGTGAAGTGCCTTATGGAACACAAAACTAGAAAAAAACCTATTCTTAGTCTGCATGTGCTGTGCAATCAGTTAGCTTTTTTAGTCCTCTTTTTAAAGTACATTTAGGAACATTTTAAGAGTCATAACTGAAAAAACAATTACATTCTAGTGAATTAAATCATGCTTGAAAATGGCTTTTTTTCCTTCATTGCTTTTGAGCTCCTTGAACTTGGTGTATAGTGTTCTGCCATGGTGAATCCTTCCTTGCACTGCAGTACAAACTTTTCAGAAGTAAAAACTTTTCAGAAGCTTCATTTTGTGACACAATTTATCCACATTGCTTTGTGGTCATTGCATCATAGGTATTTATGTATGCTGGAACCATAGTTTCTGAACACTGCACAGTCTATAATGGATAACCATCACAACACCCTTATGGAGAAGTAAATTACTTTAATTCCCAGTTAACAGCTGGGGATCTGAAACTTTGAGAGACTGAATTGCTTGAGGTGTCACAGAAAATGTAGGGAAAACTCTTCCAAATCCAGGCTAACTCTCTGAACAGTTTGCCTTTCTACAGGTACTAACAGTTAAAGAGATAGATTTTGAAAGAATACCACAGCCCCACTGCCATGCCTCACTCAGACTGCTTTGGAGAGTGAAATTTTTGCTTTCTCTTAAATTCTGCTGCAATATTGTTTAATCACCCAGTAACATTCTCATATCTAAGAAACACGCAATCCCAATATAGATTAATGATTATGTCAAATACGTAAAGGAGGCCCAGAAGAAAGTTAGAGAGAGACTATTTACAAGAGCATGTAGGGACAGGACAACGGGGAATGGCCTCAACTGAAAAAGAGTAAGTTTAGATTAGATATTAGAAAAAAAAAATCTTTGCAATGAGGGTGGTGAGGTGCTAGAACAGTTTTTGCTCAGAGAAGTTGTGATGGCCCATCCCTGGAAGTGTTCAAGACCAGGTTGGATGGGCTGGATGGGCCTCTGAGAAACCTGGTCTAGTGAACAATGTCCCTGCCATGGCAGATGAGTTTGAACTAGATGACCTTTAAGGTCCCTTGCAACCCAGGACATTCTGTAACATCCCACAACAATGCTTCTGGAGCTTAATTGCTTAGCAAGGAACTGTCAGATAAAGTTTTACTTTAAACTGTCCAAGCCACAAAAATTTTGAAATACTGTTACCAGGGATGCATCCTCTGGCCTTGCATCCATCTGGTATGATAATTTAGATCAGCAGAGAGAAACAAAAATATTTTTATTTTTTACAGAAAATGAGTACCAGCCAAGGGGATCTACTGTGAGAATGTCTACTGATCACAGATTCAGTCTAAAAAGTCATTAAACATCTAAATATATTAATAGTCCATATTCTCTTTGTAAGACAAGGCTGACTGAAGGCGTTTTCACTTCCTGAACATTTGTGGGAATTAGCTCCTAAGCTGTTCTGATAGAAAAGCTTTGAGGTAGGATGTTCTGCCTGAGAATTGCAGCAATTAGGATTCAAGGAAGGAATACCCTCTACCACTTTATATAGTTGCATTATATTCAAGTGTAGCTGCTATGTTTTCACTACAAGATAGAGATTTGGTAGAAAAATATACATTTACATTAAATTCATTGTAGCACTTTAAAGAGTGACTGCTATGTAATCTCTTATATAGAAAGAACTGAAGGCAGGTAAGGTGTGAATTAAATTCTTTTTTTGATAAATATTCCTAATTATATTCAGTTTCATATTACTGTTCTGTGGAGAAAGTCTTTTACATTTGTTTCAGAACTTTGGTGGCACACAGTGGGTTGATGTTAAAAAGACAGATTTCAAATAAAACTTTAGCCTCTAAAGGTGCAGGAAAATAATGTAATGAAATTTAAAGAAATTAATTTAATGCCTGATACCTTTTGAAAGTCAAGTGACAAGTTTATATGCAGACTTTTCTGCCTAAATATCTAAGTGTCTGATCTTTTTTCATCAGTTAAAAAAGCTGGCCTGGAGTCATTTGAACACACAGCACACCTCATCTGTACTAAAAATTCATAAATTCATCTGCATTTTATAATGTGCAACCAATTTCATGGGATACTAAAGGTTGTAAAATCTACTTCGGGTGACAAATACTTGCTTCTTTGGATAGTCCCTCTCAATTCAGTTTCTTTTCTTGAAATCAGGATGTTGCACAGGGCCTTTCATGCATTAATGTCAATCTAAGCCACAACTCTATAAGATGTGGATTCAAAATGGGAGAAGAGATATTTAGCTTTATTATTATTATTATTGTTGTTGTTGTTGTTACTTTAACTTTGGTCTGAAAAAGTCTGAGTGACATTTCATTTGAAATTATTTGAAATTATTTCTGAAATCCCCTGCCATTTCAGTGCTTCTGGGAGCTCAAAAGCCACGGCTTTTCATGCTTTTTTTTTTTTTTTTTTATCAAAGAGGATCCTAGAGGACACAACTCCCTATAAGCAAAGTAGACAAGTTTCTGATGTCCCAGAAGCCATGGAGGAAAGAACCATTTTTCCACTAAAAGCTGTGTGAAACACCTACGGTCACGTGGCAAAGTGATTCTTTTAGCTAAAAAGAGGGGACTGTAAGGCTGATGGAAAATTTCTCTTTAGCTATATTTTTGAGAGTTGACCTTTAGGCTGATATTCTTTACCAAGAGACAGGTAGCTCATACT